CTGTGATGTGAAATGGCTGCAGTAACAGAGATTCTTGTTTTCAGGACTATGGTTCCCAAAATCCCCTAGGCTGTGCTGGCTGTGGATTTTGGGAGCTGTCATCCAAAGCCGGAGCTTCCCCAGCCTCTCGAAACCTCGAGAGGGGTACAGATTTGTAGTTTTGTGGGACTACAGTTCCCAGAATCCCCCAGACGGCTGGGAGTTGTAGTCCAAAAACACGGATCTGCCCACTTCCAGGGCAAAAAATGCTGCTTCCTCTTTATTTGGGTATCTTCTGTGTCCCGAGCCTCATTTTACCATCCAGAAAAGGAAGGGGGGGCAGGTGAGGATCTTACGAGGTTTGTCTGCTGAGGCCAGAGCACTGCTTACTCTCAGTGCGTGATGGTTAGTGTTTTGTTGACAATTAAATGCAGAACCCATGATTGATTGGATAGATGTATTCAATGAGGATTAGATGATCCTAGAAGGCGGGGGTCTGCGTTTGTGCCTGTGTGAGTAATTCTTGCAGGCCCTGATGAAAGGAGCCAGTTTAAAATGGGCTTTTCCTTTTAGGCACCGATTTTGTAGCTGTAGCACAGGGGTGACGGTCCCAAAGGGAGCGTGTTTCGAACTCAGGAGGCTGGCCAGAAGGTTTGATCCTGGGCCACTCCAGGCAGAGTTGGGAAAACTCTTTCCAAACACCTGATCTTCGTTACCCACCATGCTGGATTAAATGGGTCGAGGATCAGATCCAGCGTAAGACAGGCTGTTGTTTTCCTTAGAGAAAAACACTTTACTGGTGGTGTGTTTGAACCGCCAGGTCAACCCACCAGAGAACTGCTGCACCTGTTTTGAGAAAAAGGTTTCACCCTCTTCGGTCTCTCATGTGAAGTTTTATTCTTCCTGCATTTGATTCCCGTGGAATAAGTTTCTTCCTATGTAATACCTCCATAGCAAACCTGCTGGTCCTCTCTGGCTGACAAAGGCATGCCTCCCCTGGAATGTTTGTGAACATTCCGTGACACCTCTATCATCTCCATTAATTCATCCTGCAATACAGTCTAGCAAAAAACCCCTAAGAGATCTCATGAGCCACTCAAAATCTGAGGCTGCTGCTCTAGAAGTTGACTATCTGGATCTTTCTAGGTCATATCCATCAAAACAGGCATTTCCCCTGAACTTCAGCAAGGGTGAACGTTCTTTTACCCTATTGATGCCTGGTTGAGTCCCCAAAACAGAGGAGAAGTGTCTCTTCTGGGTAGAAGGAATTGCTGTACAGTATTTTATTCTCAGAAACAAACCAACACTTTAGTTTCTTGATTTTCTATAGTGGAAAAGAAGAAGTCATTGGCAGCAAATGTATTTTCTCAATGCCCGCACCCAGAACAACAGTTTAGGCACCATGAATATCTCCTTTTTTGTCTGAATTAAAATGCTAATGAGCAAGCTTTTGAGTCAGACAGGATTATTCTTCTTGTCTCAGAACCCATGTGTGGTACAAAACCTTACACATTGGTGCCAGTAAAGCTGTTGGAATAAATTCCTGCTGTCTTACGTAATTTGCACCCTATCTTCTCTGGGACCAGCCTGTGGGGAGCTGAAGAAAAATGTGAAGGACAGTTTAAGAGTGACAGCTAGGAGTGGAACCTCCATAGTTGAGGGCAGTATAGCTTTTGATGAATAGTGATGGCCAGCAAGAGCAGGTTTGTGAATTTTCCCAGAATGTATAGCAGTTATAGCTATAGATTAAGTACAAAGGCCAAAAAACCTGTGCATCAGTCCAGTATATGAGTTTTTACATTCACTCCTGGCAGATATGTTACGTACTAGGCTTATTCCTAATAGCTAGTCTAGGAATAATTGAGAACTTCGTTTTAGCTCATTTTTAAAGAGAAATTAAGAACTTACAAAATTCGTAGATTTCTTCCAATGAAGAAATCTGTGAATTTTGTAACTTCTTAAATAAAAAAAAACGGTGGAATGAAATGGTGGAAAGAAAACTGAGATTTTAAAAAAGTATATGAAAGAAACCAGAATTAATAGAGGGATCCATCCACATCTTAAAGTCAATATGGTTGGCAGATGAAACATAACCATGTCTTTGTCAGGAATAGATATAACTACTATATCTGACCAGTGTGGATGGGAAAGAATTTTCACTGTGGTTTTGTTTCTGAAGAATCTACTAAAATTTACAAAAAGAGATATTTAGGAGATAGATATATGGACATAAGAGAAGCAAAGAGATATTTAGGAGATAGATATATGGACATAAGAGAAGCAAAACTGACAGATTTTCCTGACACGACTAGAGGCGTACACCCACTTCCTTTCTAATTGGTTCTACATTGGCGTTTGATGCAAAAGCACAATATAATCAACAACGTAGTTCTGTAGTATTTGCATGCATTTAATTGTTGGTGGCAAAGTGTGCATGAGTGTGATCTACTCATTCCGGAGTCTCCCTTTCTTAAGGACAGTCTTTGCTCAGTGGATTTCCAATATGGTAAATAAACCCCATCTAGAATAAAGCCGTGTCAGACAAGGTCTGTCAGCAGTATATTGGATTTGTGGTGATGGACAATTTTAAAAGACTGTGCAGATGTGTTTAGACAGTTTGATCAATTATTCACATTTTAGCACTCCCATGACAGATATTTATCTGATCTGTCTCTCACTTTTCTGTCAGTTTGGTCAGACTGATAAATAATCATTAAGGGAGAGCAGAAAATGAAACTGATTCTGGGTCCCTTTCTTTTCAATATTTATTTTAATATTTTTTGGGGAGGAAAGAGTTTAATGTAAAACTGAAATGATGTTGGTCTGGATGCACTAAATTTTTTTCCCCTTGCGGGTTTATTATTTTACGCGGAAGTTTTTGTGCTTCGTCATCAGAAAGAGGATCTGTGTTCCCTTTCCATTCTTTAAACCTATCTGTGCAATTCTTCTTGGTGTGCAAATCATAATTATTTTTGTTACTGATTGTCAGTTTTTGTTGCTATTTGTCAGTTCTTCTGTCACTCCAGTGTGTTTTTCCAGATGTGGGAGGCGACCTTGATCTAAGTTGTCTGCAATAAACTTATGGAAAATTTGAGTCCCCCAAACCAATTCCTTCAAGAGTGTTTGGTGTTTTTTTTAATAAGATGCAAAGACACAGATTAACTTCAGGTTTCAGTTTTGAGTTTTGACGTGACTCACACAACTTTATAAGTGCCCCCCTCTTTCAGGGAATTTTTTTGTTAGATGTATATTATCTCTCCCAGTTTACTCCTCTTGTTTCTTAAAATCAATTCATTTAATGATTTCCTGTAGTCTGTGTGCTCCTCAGTCGGGTGGTAAAGTTGTGAAGGGACTCACTTGAGGATCCGTAGCTGTGCAATACCATGTGATGGTCCAACGTGGATCAAAATATTTTGCAAAGTATTTTTCGTGGGCCTCACCAGGCATGAAAAATCAGGGCTATTGGCGGGAAGGGGGGGGAGCAAAATGGAACGTTCCTGCAGTTCTTCCCATTTCAGTGGATTTCGGATGCAGGAGAGGCCTCCATAAGATGTTCATTACGAAATCTAGAGGCTTCCAGGAGCAGTTTTTGTCTGCTAGGAACTGTTGTGGAGTCCACAGAAGTAGCCTGGAGGAATTTCAAACAAGATCCTTCCGGTTATTAAAGGAAGCAAAGGAGTAGATCAGAGGTCTTGAAGGCGTCTTAGTATAAGAGAAGAAAGGGGAGACGGGAGTTTCCAAAAGACCAAAGAGGCTTCCCAGAGTACAGAAAGTAAAGTAGTTACCGATAATTATTTTTTTATTTATTTTTGGTAATGAAGATATAATACAATTATATTTAAAATATGGTATAATGAAGCAAACCAGTATTTCTCTGCTCGGGCAATGCATCATGTTTTCTAGCTGTTTTTAAAAGTTAGATTTAAAGGCAGTTTGGGACCCTGTCAGATGCATTGTGACAGAGATTTTTCAATATTTGTTTTTTTGCCATTTTCTTCTCAGTCCTAAGGCATTTTTTTATTTCCAAGCACAGCAGCAAAAAGGGGCAAAAAATTGCGGCAATTTGATGCTGCCATTGTGTAAACATTGCAAGTAGCAAAGCACCATTTCGTTTTAAAAACCGTGTAACAAGTGTGAAGACTTGTGTATCTCTCAGGACCTGAAAGTAATGAGTTACAAATAATGTAGCTACTGGTAGAATTATTTTTTTTGGTAAGTAACTGAGTTGTAATGAAGTTGTACTTTAAAAGTAATGCAGCAGTCAATGCAAATGGACTTTCTAGGTTCAGATATCAAAAAGTTACTTTTAGAAGATCTTTTTTAAGATGGATTTTTCCCTTTGATCTTCAGTATTCAGCTCCCTACCCCCAAAAGTGGACTGAATCTAGCTGGAGATCCCAACTAGAGTAGGAAAATTAAATTTACAGGATTTATGTAAGGGTTGATCCCCCAGCTGATTCCATGGGCCTCTGCTAGATGAGGACCGACGAGCAGATTTGGGCCAAAGTAACAAACCTTAAGAAGTAATGGAGTGAATTACTTTTGGAACATTTAAGAAATGGCACCGAATCTGTTCTTAGAGGTTGTAGCAAGAATGGGAATGCTTTTTAAAACTGAACTTCCCAAGCATTCCCCCCCTCCCCAGTGGCTTTATTTATTTTTTTCCCTCTTGTTGTTCCTAGCTTTGAGCTGCAATGAGAATGACGGAGATCATTTGGACCGCGATCAGCAGTACCCCAGCAATCAGAAAACGAAGCGCATGCGGACCTCATTTAAGCACCACCAGTTGAGGACAATGAAGTCTTATTTTGCTATCAACCACAATCCGGACGCCAAGGACTTGAAACAACTCGCTCAGAAAACGGGCTTAACTAAGAGAGTTCTCCAGGTAAGGAAAGGTGGGGAGGGAGGGCTCGGCTCTCCACCCTATGTGAGTCGCCAGTCCTCTCGATGGAGCACCAAAGACGAACACCTCCTTCTATATCTACAGCTGCAGCTCCGGTTTGCCGCCCTGGCTCGGTTTGCGGGGGGCTTCTTTCGCACTCAGGGTCGGTGGAGGATTGCTCTTTTGCATCATTCGGAGATGCAGTGGAGGTTTGAGGCTGTTGTGGTGTAAGTTTGCCATCCTGTTGAGCTTCCTATAAAACTACAGATGAGTTTGCAAAAAAAGGGAAAGGGAGGAAAAGTGCAATATGTGAAGAATTAATCGCTCTATCCTTTTATGAAGGACCAACTGGTTTAGTCCTGCTTACACGCCTTCCACCTGTTATATAAGGAGCGAATACATGTGTTCAGGGCCATGGGCTCTCAAAAGGATAGAACCTGTGGGCAATCGCGAGAATCCTGCACCCTGGGGAATGCCCTTTATTTTGTTGCCAGGCATTGAAATGTGCCTGGTGGGGGGAAAACATTGCTATGAGGTGTTGGAGCAAAATTTGTGGTGCTGATAGCCATAGGAACAGGTTCTAGCAATGCTAACCTTGCGCTGTGTGCATGCACGCGCCCGGGTTTGCATGCACTGATGTTCCTTCGGCCATAGTGACAGCTGCTCCTCCAGCGTGTCGCTCTGGTTCTTGTGATGCATCCACGTGTAGGTTTGCACACTCCCAGGAACGCAGGTCCTGAGGGTCGACACTTCCGACTCCTTGCCTACCGAGGACATGTGTTTAATAAAGCAATGGCTGTGGATGCTTGTACGATGCCACACAGAGGGTCGTCCACTGTGTAGGGATATTTTGGTTTATGCTTGCAGGCGGAGTGCAGAAAGTGAGGCCTGACTGTATGGCTATGAAATCAGAGGAACTACTCTGGAAATGTATAATGAGATAAAATGAGAAACCTGCAATTTGCCGAATCAGAAAAAAAGAAAAACATTTGGAGAGAATGCAGGAGGAAGAGCCCTAAACAAAGTTGCTGAAATCCCTAAAACTTGCTTCTTAGTTGTGCAGGTGTGTTCAGCCATTTGCGAGAAGCCGTACGCGTCTGCTTCTCTTAACGTGAGAAGGGGAAGAAGCAGGAAGTGACCTCAGGGAGCAAAAGAGAAAGACACCTACCTATTTATATAAGAATAAAAATTACAAGGGATTATTATCCTGAGCCTCACCGGTTCTGATCAGGTTCCATGTATTGGTTGGTCGGCCAACATAATGGGTCCCAAATTTGGCCTGATTTCAATTCATATGTGTGAGGTCTGGATTCACCTGGACTGTCCTTCTTGTGTGTTCACGTTTCAGCATTTCCTGCTTGTGCTAAGTGTTTTGATTTTAAAACAAAATTCCTTAAAAAGCAGGCTTTGAAATCTGGGCATGACTTTTGAGGGATTGATTTCCAGTCTAGCTTGCTTTAAAGATGCCCGGTGCAGCTTTGCTGCTAAGCGATTTGTCTCCGATGCACTTTGAAAACGGGGGGGCTAAGATCAGTGGATGGACAAATTTTGGCGTTTAAAAACAAACCAAACTAGAACCCCAAGCTCTATCTTGACAGGAGGTCCTAGAATTTGTAGTTGAAAACTAGTTTTCCAAGCTCCAAAGACAATCTACTTTTTGTCCACCTGGCATAAGCAATAGTTGACCATATGATGATATGAGTTACATGTCATAATTTAGACAATGTGTATGCAAGATTTCACATGTTGTGTGAGCCTAAACCCTCCTGTGTTGTTCTGCAAAATGCACACCCTTTCCCAGGAATGGGATTCCTTTTATGACTCCTGTGAAGTGCGGCACAAAACCCAGAACGGACTCACAGCAGCTTAGAAACTTATAATCGCTCCCTGCCACGGGGTGAATTTTTCAAATGGTCCATTCGCTGTCGTTTTGATCTATTTATTTGCCTTATTGCTCCTTAAAAGGATGGTTTTAAATACTTCCAGTTCTTGTGGGGAATGACACAGACAGAAATGGGCTCTTTCTTCATTTCTTCTGCTTTGAACACGAGTGAATAAGCTAGGTAGATATGATTTTTTTACGGTCTGTTTCGTTTAGCAGTTTTCAACGTTTTGTCTGTGACGTTCGTAATGCTAATGTTAAAAGAATCCCAGAAAATCATTTTCTCAGAATATTTTGAAAATGTTGCAGATTTCAAGATAATTTTGTTAAAAAAACAACACCAACTTTCCTGGCTTGGGTTTAGCATATCAACCGCAGTCTAGCCGTAGGACTACGATTTCATGTAATTGAAAATGTAACTTTTCCATGTACTGCGAGGTACGAGAAGTGTGTATGGATAAGGGAAGAGGCAGCTCCTCAGATGAAGGGAGGGGAGGTCTTTTAATCTGTAGAAGCACACACACAGTCTCCAAAACAGGCATTCCAGGGGCCTCAAACCAATTATGCATTCTCACAAAGCTCCATTTTAATTATGGACAATGGTTGGGATAGGTGCTCTCCACGGTGGGCTATAAAGCCACCCGTAAGCCGGGTGCCATCCTTAGGCGGAGTGTGGCAAAGGCTTCAGGCAGCAGATGCTGTAGGGCGGCAGTCGGAGTCCACTAGCTATTCCTCCTAAATTCTCTACCCTTTCCCTTGGGGGGGGGTCAGGCACAAATCTGGGTTTACTACGGGAGTGGGGTCCATCTCGATTTCCCAAATGGCTGCCTTCGACTGCGAGATGCTCCTTAGCCACTTTCTGTAGGGGGAAGCACCGTCCTGTGTTTTTGCCTCAGGCAGCGAAATATCTTGGACTAATCTCAACGTTTCCTAGGGTCCCTTCTAGATCTTCCGTTCTAAGACCTGGAGGCTGAGATTCCAAGGAAGAGAACACCGGGCCGACTGTACAAAATGGAAGCCTTTCTCAGCCACAAAGAGAAAGTAGCTCTGCAGCAGGATAGTACCTAGATAGAACAACTACTAGATCTTGGTTAATGGCTCACTGGATCAACTGTGTACATTTTCATCATGACGCTCAGAGTTGTTTTACTCTGAGTCAGACCATTAGCGTTGTTTGCAGCAGGAGTAAGCAAGCCAGGCGTAAAACATTTGTCTGCCTGAGGCTAATGATATGTTTGGGCTTCTTCCCCCTTGTTGTTTAGAGAAGCCATCTAGTCTGCCAGTTGAGCATCCCTTTAGTACTGGTGTTGGGACAGGCAGTGTGGTGGAATGGTTAGACCTGGGAAAACAGGGTTCGAATTCTCAGGGAATCCTGCAGTCCCATGGAGAATGTTGGGCTGGCCACTTGCTCACAACCTTCCTCCTTCACAGGGTAAATTTATCCCTGCTGCTAGTGTACTGTTAAGTAGAACAGAATAGCCCAGGGGAAAAGGGACTGTTCATCTCCCCCAATATCTGCTGCCTGGGGGGGTTCCCTCACTTTGACAAGCAGGAGAGAACACTGTAGCGCTGTGCCACTGCCCGCCTTTAAGAGCACTCTTTCCTTGACTTGGCTTAAGGGGCCTCATGTAGCACTGTGCCACTAAGAGCACTCTTTCCTTGACTTGGCTTAAGGGGCCTCAAGACACAGCTGTCTGTTCTGCAAGTATCATAACATAAAATATTAATGACACATGACATTCCAAAAGAAATTTGTGCAAGCAGAGTCAGGATTTTCACCCCCGAGGAGAAACACCAGGAGCTGCGAGCAACCGTCAGGAGGAAATGGTTGGGCAAGAAGTTGCAACAATCACGGCTAGTCCATTAAAAACGAAGAAACAAAGTTCCAAATACTCGCTTAACCCACCTTACAAGGCTGTTGTGAAGATAACTAAGGGAAAAAGAAGAGCCTTCTGGGCTGCCTTGAGCTCGGTAGAGAAAAGCCGGGACTGAAATATAAACAACAATAAATTAATAATAGGCAAGCCTGGTCCAGAATTGTTGGGCGTTGTGGTGTCCATCTGTGTTATTTGTCCTGTATATTGGATGGAATCTTTGCTGTGCATTCCAGCACAATTCGCACTCAGGTGCAAGGTGTGTGCATGGATGTAGGGGAAAGAGACACTGTCTTTCCTGTCGGTATATCCAGGCTTCTAGTATGTGATGGTCTTTGAACACTGGCGAAATATTGCAGGGTGTTTTTTCCCCCCCATGGACTGCAAGGCAACATGTCATCAGAAAAGAAAAGAAAACTGGAGAAGCTCCTTGCAGATTGAGACTCTCTGCTCCGTTTTGTTTCTTTGCTCTTGGCCTCTTGCTTTGGGTCCCTGCCTAGGAAGAAGATCGGAAGATAGATATGAAATCATAAAGCAGTTGGGCTTCCAAGTCATTAAGCGGCAAAAAATAAAATAAAATAAAGAGAAATTCTGTTTTTGATGGGAGTGGAAACTGTTTTGGGGTCTAGCAGAGTCTTGCTGTCATGCTGCCCCCTGGTGGAGACCATGGCCATCACTTTAAATTGTGAGCAGGGAAAGTTACAGCTGGATTACGATTCCCATCATCTCTCACCATTGGCTGCGCTGGACGATGGGCTCTGATGTCCAGGAACATTTGAGAGATGTCCTGTTCCCCCACCCCCTGTTTTAAATGTTGCAAGGTCTTCATCAGCCTTGTGCGACCAGGCCACATTGGTGGGGAGGATGATGGGCACTGTATTCCAGCAAATCATAAAATTGGTGGGTTTAAAAGGGATTGCTCTCAAGCATGGCTGTGAGTCCTGCACTTTCCCCCCTGCTCCTTTGCTGGGGAGGTATAATTCTAAGCTCTCTTGATCCTATTCCTTGCATGTTCTACCTGCACATTTTGAACATAGATGCCAAGGGCTGCTTTTTTTTGCAACCTGCCAGATTTTTAAGTACTTCTATTGAGGATCAGACAGGAAAACACCATTATCTGAGTAAGCTCAATATCTTGATATCTCTGATAAATTATTCCTGGTTCAGAAACCGGGGGTATCTTAGGCTGGTCTTGAATTCAAGGTCCTGAACCTATGGAGCTAAAATGGCCGGTAGCAGTGGCCGAAATGGGACTTAAGACATCCCGAAGAGGCTTGCAAGGATGAAAGCTGCTTAATTGGTCTGTTTCCTTTTGTCCTTCCTTCTTATGAACCACTTAGTTATTAAAAACAACAACAGTGCCATAACTCAGACCGCGTTCTGTGTGAGGTTTCGCCTGCTTTTGATGATCGTTAGACTTTTCCGTGAGTACGTGATTGCTATCATTAAAGATGAGAGCACTTGTAATGTGGATGACATTTTGGGACAATAAAGGGTTCTGCGACACCATATAAGCTAAATGGATTTACTAGGCATGAAAGGGTTCAGCCCACTGGCAGCTGATGATGTTTATACCAAACAAAACATGTTAATCTTTCACAGGCCTGCTGCCAGATTCTGGTTCTGCTTGAGGTTGTGATTTTGCTGCCACGGACTCAGACAGTTGCCTCTTTCTGGAAATCTCTAGGCAATGAAGATCTGATTTTTACAAATGAAAATAAGAAATGCCTGAAGCTAAGTTGGGTGCAACTGTGAAAACATCTATTGTTGTTGTTATTAATAATAAAAATATGCGGCTGTATGTTGTTGCTGTCTTCCCTCCCAACACTGAAGGCGTTGGGTCCGATTTCTGTTCTGCAAATGTGGTGTCTTTCCATTATTGCCTATGAGTTAAAACACACATCACAGTAGATTATAAACTATTACAATGTGAAATACGAAACTGATAAACAGAATAATAGACACAAAAAAACGCCTAGTTTGTTGTAAGATAAATAAATAAAAACAAAAATGTTTTGGTTCTAAACTATGGTATGAAACCACAACATGGGTATAATTGCAGGGTTATACAGGTAGGAAAACCTGCAGAAATGTGGCATTTTGATTACATTGTATCCCAAACCTTTCTAAAAAGGTTGCCTCTCTGTTTTAAATTTCCATTTGGGTTTAATTCCTTTTGTAACACCTCGGTCTATCAGCGTTAAGTTTTTGCTTAGTTTGGTCATATGTGCCGATTGCCAGTTTTTTAACTCCTTTAAATCCTGGCAGTTACACTATTTGTTGAATGGGGGTGATGTTAAAAGTTTCTGCCGATTGGGTGGGTGGAGCCAGAATGTTACTGGAATGTTTGCCACACTGCCCAATGTTGCCAACTTATCAAGTGAATATAGATGTTGTGCTGTTTGTATCAGCTGTTGAATGGACCCCAACCGACTATAATTCCCTATGCAGCCACATGAGAAAGAGAATTATTTGGTTTGCCTATACCGAAATCCAAAGTTTAAAAAGTTACTTTTGAAAAGTAACTCTTTCTCATTATTCATGTTGGTGTTTAAATGCTTATTCATGGTTATTACTCATTACAGTGTTTTTAAAAGAAATCATCTCTGCATTAGCCATTGCCGTTTCATTTTTTAAAAAATTAACTTTGCAATAGATAAAAAAATGACAGCAAGTGAAAAACTTAAAAACAATTAGAATGCCTTACTCATTACACTAATAGAGTAATTTCACAAGTACTTGTTAGATCAGCTTTGAAATACAAGTTAGTCTGAAGTTAGTCTCAACTCACATATTAAGGGAGATGCGTTTGTCCTGCTTTTACAATGTTTTCCCTCCATGCACACAATTCCATGAAAGCTCTCTGTCTTGAGCACTCAGATTTGCAAAGAAAGGCCATGTTGACCACCCAATATCCAATCACAATATAAAAGCAAGCTGGTTTGAAACACGTGGCATGAAGCCAACTCCGACTGGCATAGACTTATTTTTCTTTTCTCCTTAAGGAGCTTGACACCTTAATGAGGCCACCTAGTTCTATCTTGTTTGCAACCTAATGACTAAAAGAGTAACTAATTACCGGTAATCAATAGCTCATTATTTCCAAGCTCTGTGCAAATCTCATCCAGGATCCACACAGCCCTGGGAAGACCAGTTTTCCGTTTTGACCCTGTGAAGTTCTTTAAGGACAACAATATCAATAATATATTCCCTTCTCTTTTTTTCTTCCCATGGAATGATCTTAGGTCTGGTTTCAGAACGCCCGGGCCAAATTCCGGCGGAATCTTTTACGGCAAGAAAACACGGGAGTGGATAAGACCGCTGACTCGGCGCTCCAAGCCGGCACGCCATCGGGCCCCGCTTCAGAGATCTCCAACACGTCCATGAGCCCGTCCACCACCCCCACCACCTTAACGGACTTAACAAACCCCAGTATGCCATCGGTCACCTCGGTTTTGACTTCGGTACCCGGCAGCTTAGACGTCCACGAATCTCGGAGTCCTTCACAGACAACGCTGACGAATCTTTTCTGATGACTCTCGTTCCCTTCCTTTTCCTTTTTATTTTTCAAAGAGAAATTATTCTTAGTTGAATTCCAGGTGTATTTTACTAGAGACTTTTCTCACAGCTGGGCTAGCCACCGCATAGAGTCTGTTTTTTTTTTTCCCGGGCAGTGGGAGAGATCATCGTTGGCCCTATATGTTCTGGTCTGACTGTCACGGCGAACTGAAGATTTAACTTGGAAGAAGCAACGTTTGTGTCCATGTACAGTTTTGTGGACCGGGCAAGGGAAGCAGCAATTAATTTAAGTTGGCTAAAGCTTCTGTAATTTTCAAAGACTGCCATGTGCCTTAAACACTGTTCCCCACCCCCCTCCCCACCCCCCTCTTTGGAACACTTTCCCATCTGCCACCACTTACCTTTTTTTACCTGTCTGTGTATTTATGACCAGGGCAAAGAACAAACAAACAGACAAAAAAGGAAAAAAAAGAGAGAGAAAGAAAGAAAGAGATAAATGAAAATGTCAATACGAGTTTTGTTACTTTGGATCACTCCTAAGCCCTTCTTCATTGGTTGTTCTGATGTTTTAGAATTTTAAAAGTTGGGGGGGGGGAGAGAGAAAAGTCTGTTCAACTATCAGAATTTGTAAAAATCTAACCAGTAATAAAACCAGTTACAGAAAAATCACCATCAGGTTGGTTGGTCTTGTGAAGCCTTGTGAAGCTCCTCAGTTTGGGTGGCCAGCCCATGGGAAGGAGATGGGGAAGCCGAGGTCTGCGGGGCTCTGCAGAGGTGTGTGTGTGTGTGTGTAAAATGAGTTTAAGGAGCAAGAAAGGAGGGATTCTGTTTCCCAACAAAAATCAAGGAAGAGTCCGGTGTCATCTGAAAGTCTTACAGATTTGTTACAGGACACTTCATCAGCTACATGACCTTTTAGTCACCGTGCTGGCGGATAGTTGTTTGGTAAGTAAGACCATGGACTCCCATTGTTTCTGGCTCTTGGAAAAACAGGAAGAGAGGATGATACTGGCCATGTCTTGTGGGTGGGCCAACAGTTTCTCACCCCTGCCAAGATGCTCAGCACCTTGGAGAACGTCACCATGGATCTAATGCAAGCGGAAAGGAAGCTTGCCTCCGCTAGGCTGGCTATATTGTTGGTGGGTGCAGTAATTCAAATACAAAGTATTTTTTCCCAGTCCCTGATCTGGAGAGAGAAAGGAACTGGAAGCCGGTGGCACTAGGACCTCAGCAGCAAAGCCTAGACTCCGCCCCCCAGGCAATCAGGTGACTTGAGCCAACCAATCACCTGCTATTGAGTAGTATAAAAAGCCTGGAAGAGGTGGTTTCCTCCTATAGTCTACCATGACTTGCTGAGGAGGGTGATGTTGGTGTGCTGTCTGTAGCCTCCTGCTGATCAGTAATTGTCCTGCTGGCCAATCACAGCTATAGGTAGAAATAGCTATATTTTATTTTGGGAGAGAGGTAGGTGAGTTGGCCTCTGTCAGTGACTGTGGTTCTTGTAGGACCAGAAGCTGTGGGTAAGGTAGGTTTCAGGTCCTGCCCCACGGCAAGGGGACTGCCTTGGGCAGCAGGTTTGGTGCGTCATGAAAGGGCAGCAAATTGTTAATTATTGAATCTGTGCTTATTGTGGTTTTATGGCCAGGCCTGCAGAGAGAACCGGTGGGATTCTCTGCCTCATGAGCCGGAATAATTTGGTACGGCTGCAGGAGAGGGCAGGAACCCAAATAAGTCAATTCAATGTGTTCGGTCGGCCTTACATGTGGAGAAAGGTGTTATCTGTGATTTTTTAATGGGAGAAATCTCTGCCCCCTCCAGCAGCATTTTATGGCCTAGTGGTGAGAGCAGGAAGAAAAAACGGGACATATTTCCACTCCCTGTTTCCACACACTTTCTTTCCTACCCAATACACCGCTTTCTTCGCATAGCCTTTATCAAGTTCAGCTAATTTTATGTCCGTTGTCCTGCCTTCAATGTCCTCCCTTGCTTTCAGGTGTTATGGTATATTTATGATGATGAGTTTAAAAAAAATCTAGGAAAACAGTTTCTGGGAAATTTGAAAGGATGTTAACAGGTTCATGGCGGGAAAGTCTGTAACCTTCCGACTACCTGCTCCCCATCAGAATGTGGAAAGTTCTTTTTTAAAAAGTAATTTGCTTCCATGATCTATTACATGGTTAGATCATGGGGGCTAGAAAAAACAAAATGAAACAAAGTAAATAGTTATTGATAACTGTTATCTGTAACTAATTATTTCTGAGTTCTGCTCCCCATGCAAGTTTGCATTTGTTATAGCATTAGGTCAGGGCTAGAAGGGAAAAAAAATCAAAACAAAGTAAATAGTTACTGATGACTCTGTTAGTTGTAACTAATTACTTCCAAGTTCTGCTTCCCATGCAAGTTTGTAACTCTGAAACCCATGTCAGCCTGACATTAGCTTCCTGGATGCTTCGTTTCTGAGTCTTGGGCGGCTGCTCTCTCTAACCCCTCCACCCCGCTGCCCCCTCCTGCAGTTCCCAGCTCTCTCTACTGCCACCTGCTCTCTTCTTCATGGTGTGTTTCCTTGGCTTTTTTCCACCTCGCTTTCCTCCCCAGAGGCGAGCCGCTCCAGAAAGACGCCGCCGATGCGGCTGCTCCCCATCTGCCCCCCTCTGCACCACCTCTTCCTCCCCCCCTCTCCCCTACGGCTTTCCTAGCCAGCTGATCGTTGTAATAACAGCTTGAGCTTGCATCACCAAGACTGTGCGCGCGTACACACACATACCCTGCCGTCGGCAACATCTCAAAAACAACAGCCATAGCAGTGCTGCACCCCCTCTAAAAATATCCCCCCCGCCGCCCCCAAATACGTAGGGAGTACCCAAGTCCTTCGGTACCATTTCATGATGGGGGAGACATTGTAAAATTATACTGAAATGTTAACTTGTTTGGTTTTGAATTGCAGTCCTGATTTGCACCCTCCCCAAACTTTGAATATGAGGGTTGGTATGCTCACAACTGGCATCTTCAATGTGGTGTAATTGATGGAGCGATGGACCTAGGAATCGGGAGACTTGGGTTCGAAACTCTGATTGGCCATGGGAACTCACTGGGAAAACCACTCCGTAAATATCAAGTATATCCTGTAAACCTTCCTAGGCCATAACAGAAGGCCGACAGATAAAACAGAATCAAAGGAGAGAAACTTATATCTTCCCCCCCCTCTTTCTCTGCCTTTTTCCCTCCCCCACCTCCATTCCAGGTTCTAGCTAGTGGGAGACCACACAGGTAAAAATCAGAGATGGGAAGGTTCAGTGTTCAGACTACAACTCCCATGATCCAGCAACCAGCATGGCCCATGACTTTGAAAGCTATGGCTTGGTGGGAACTGTAGTCCAGAACAACGAAATGTTTCCCTTCTCTGATCCTGACTTACGAACAGCCAGTGCTGGACCGCACATTAAGCAGAGTGAAATGGTTGCCTCAGGTGGTGATGAGGCAGCAGCAGGATATTGCAGGAGAGAGCTGTCTGGCATATAGTCTGCTATGCACAATGCTGCCCCACCTTGCATGCTGGAGAAAATTCAGAACCGTAGCTAGTTGGGTTTGCAATTGTTGTTCTGTTGAGGAACTTGCATTTTTGATAAACCGTAGCTAGTTGGGTTTGCAATTGTTCTGTTGAGGAACTTGCATTTTTGATCTGGTAAGGCTTGAACTAGCTGATCGTGCCTAGCAGATCGTGCGGGGTGGTGATACTTTAAGACAGTGGTCCTCAACATTGGGCCTCCAGATGTTGTTGAACTACAACTCCCAGAAGCCTTCACCACCACCTCTGCTGGCCAGGATTTCTGGGAGTTGAAGTCCAAGAACATCTGGAGGCCCGAGGTTGGGGACCACTGCTTTAAGAAGCAAAGAGATGTCTGTTTCTCTTTGCCTGAGCTGTCTTCACCTTTGTATGTTGCAAATTATTAGCCTGCTTTTGCTTTGCCATTGGTCGCCGGGAGGTAAATGTGGACTTCATTTGCAAGCCTGAGTGCTTAGGCAGAGCCTTTTGGAAGGACTGAGTCTCTGGAGGAAAAAAACGGTATCACCTTCTAATGGTGAAGTGGACACCTCTTACAGTTTGATCCTCAGGTGGGTACAATACCAGACAGCAGGCATGCTGGCTAGGGTTGTAGGGTTTCTCCAGTCTGTGGCAGAGAATCCAAAGTCCCTTATTCAGTTACAAATGCCAACCTTGAAGAGGATGGAATTATAGCAGTTAAAGTGTATTAAACAGTTATAACTGTGTCATGTAGATTCACGTTTGATGCATATGTCCCATTAATGGTCAAAGACAGTGGGGTAGTGCTAAATTTTGAAGACCCTTGATATGACAGTCCCTGTAGCTGTATCCCCATGGAGAGCTAAATAAACAGACAACTGGCTCAATCCAGAGTCTAGCCACTTTTCATCTCCACACAGAGCAGGTCTTTTGTAGGGCCTGTGAGTCTTAACGACCCATTCAGGCCGAGCCACCCCAAAATATTTTCCAGTACCACAAAAATACTTTTCTTGAAGGAAAGATGCATTATTTTTATTTCCCCGCACCGCCGATCCTGTTTATGCTCTCCCTGCTAAGCCATGAGTCCAGATGTATTGGCTCCACTGTGTCATGGATAGAAAAATGGTTGTATCGAAAAGTGCTTTTGCTGTGGCGCTCCCTCTTTGCAGCTTGTTCCCCACGAACCCCCCTTGTTTGCAGCCAGTTGGCACTTTTAGGGCACCTTTTGGCAAACTTGGCATGCAATGATAGGCCGCTACTAAGCTGCCTGTAGCAGAAGATGTCCCCCCCAAATCTAGAACATATAATTTTTCTCAGAGGGCAGGAGGCTAGGCCAGAATTGAAAGCCCTTTGCATGAGAGAGAGTGTGTCAAGACCTTATTAATTGCTGGGAGAGAGCAGGTATTTAACAGGCCCCCCCCAATTTCCCACCTGCCATTTCACAGTTGACTTCACCTCTGATTTCTTCAGTGGGGGAAGAGGGGAGGGGGAAATCTGACTGCGTGTCATTTGGGTTAACGAGACACATTATACACTGCCTCCTTCTTGTAAAGAACGTTCATGGGGGCGGGGGGTTAGGAAAGAAAACCACCCAACATGGAAATATTGGAGGGGGAGTTTTTTTCCCCTTTTGATTGTAAGGATTTCGAAGGAGAATCTGGGTTTTGTTTTGATTTTTGCCCGTTTTCTCTTAGGTTGGGGTTGGTGGGCAGGGAGCAGCCCCCCCCGGCTCTGGTGATCCTAGGCAGCCCCCTAGGCTGACCTTCCGTAGATCCGTCCCCATCAAAGGTCACTTCGGACTTCTGCAGGAGAAACCTTCCCTTTTTCCTGACATTGACAGGACTTGGAAAAGAGACAGAGTGGCCTGGAGAGAAACAGAAAGTGAGGTGGGTGGGTAGAGAAGGTGGCAGAATGAAACAGTGTGTGTGTATGTGTGTCAAATTAGAAGTTAAAGGCAACGTGTATATGGCTTCACCCTTGCCCGCTGCCACCGTGGGGTCAACCACAAAAGAGTCATACATCCCCTTGGAGATACGGGGCACATGGGGGTGTTCTTTCAATGCGGGGTGTAGTAAGCGGGACCTCACAAACCCTCCTTCCGCAACACCGCAACAGAGACGGGCAACTGTGGC